GACACAACATCTTTGTTGGTATGTGGTGCTGAGGATCGAACCCAGGCCGCACGCATGCCAGGCGAGCGCGCTACCGCTTGAGCCACATCCTCAGCCCCATGCCTATTGCATCTTAAAAATTAAAAAAGTGATTGGAAGATTTTGGTGTGGATGTGTGACTCAATTGTTGGGGCCTTATTTGTGGCTTGATTGAAGGGCCTTAAAATGTCAGTGTGTAGAATGTTATTCTCTAGTGCTTTTTATGCTTTAACCCATTATGGCTCATCATCAAAAATATATGGGATACCTACAAAAGCCTATCAGATGGGAGAATTTTTTATCCTCTTCTTCATAACATGCGATGTTGAGAGGAACCTATGAAGGAGACTTCTCTCTGGTATTATGTCTAGGATTATGAACTTAACACAGGATTTTAGGGGATGCAATTGTCCTAGGATTTCAGATGGTATTTTTATTGCTTGTTTTTTTGTTGTTGTTGTTTTATGGTTTGTTTTGCCCCATCAGTGAGATGTGTTTACCTCTCTTCACTATACAGCAAATGGAAAGGTGACAATAGCAGCGTCACTTCCCTGTGTATCAGCCCAGATGGAAAAATGTTGCTTTCAGCTGGTCGAACAATCAAACTATGGGTTTTGGAGACCAAAGAAGTCTACAGAGTGAGTCAAATTATTTTCTAAGCTGACAATCATATACAGTATGTAAGAGAAAGATAAAGAAGTTTGAGTCGTAGAATGTTGTTTCATAAGTACAAATTCTTAGTCATGTTCCATGATATCTTATAGTTCCGGCACTTGACAGACTAAGGCAGCAGGATTGCTTGAGCCCCGGAGTTTGAGTCCAGTCTGGGCAGCCTAATGAGATCCCCCTCGCCCCGGCAACCAGCCCAAACAGATTTTTAAATTTTTAGGTACATCAATTAGATAAAAATTAGCCTCCAAATTTGATTCATTGATATTAAGTACATTATAGACAAGTTTGCATTTTTCAAAAAAATGAATAAAATAAACAAATGAATTTAAAATCTATTCTACCATGCAAGGATTGTGGTAATTTTGTTTTCTTGCTTGTATCCAGCGTTTGGTCCATTTATAGTGTTTAACTATGGAGATTAGTATTAGGAGGGGAAAACAGTTGAATTCAGAGGTTTCTCAACTTTTGGTGCTGTGATGATGCCTTAAAATTGTGGTTTCGACTCACTGAGAGTAAAATGAGGACCTACAATTCCTTGGCTGTGTCTGAGCACCTGAGCACACTTGAGAGAAATGCGTAGAACTGGGGCTGGGGATGTAGCTCAGTGGTGGAGCCCTTGCCTAGCATGTGAGAGACCCTTTGTTTTAATCCTCAACATTGTTAAAAAAAAATAAAAATGGAAGAAATAAAGTTAATGTGGTAGGATCGTGGGAGTTAAAAGGAACATCTTAATTTTCAGTGTTTTCAGAGTTTTTATTTTATTTTTAAGAAGAGGGGATTATAATAAATAATATCATTTGCTTACTATTAAATAGAATTGTTACTTCCCTGTAGAGCTCTTTTGTTATATAATATCATTTAGAGCTTATTTATGATGATACCTAGGGAATTTTAATGTTTGTAGTGCTTTGAATCCATCCTCTCTTAAATAAGATTTAACTTTCTAGCACTTCACAGGACATGCGACACCAGTTTCATCACTTATGTTCACTACTATCAGACCTCCTAATGAGAGCCAGCCCTTTGATGGAATTACAGGTCTTTATTTCTTATCTGGAGCAGTGCATGACCGGTTACTTAATGTCTGGTAGGTGGTTCTTTTGAATTTGGGACACAGCTTTGCCTTAAAATCTGTCAAAGCTTATGTGGTTAATAAAAAAGAGTATGAAACTTGCTTTATTGCATTTAATGTTGGAATTACCTTGACTTGTAATAAAGAATTTAGTCTGTCTAAAAAACATATTTTGAAAACACTTAAGAACATTACATAATATAACCTCTCTGTTTGGAGATGCAGGGGTCTCGGTATTTTTGTGACTGGGCAGTTTAAAAGTAGCTTAAAATATTTTTTTTAGGAAAACTTCATTCTGTTGAATATGTGGTGCCACTAGATTAATGCAATAATATCTATTTACAGATGGTTTGCTGAGGATATAAATTTTCCTGACTTATTACTAAGATTTACCCTTTTTTT